TGGTCTCTCTCTGGTGTCTCTCTGTGGTCTCTCTCTTGTATCTCTCTCTAATCTCTCTCTGGTCTCTCTCTCTTGTATCTCTCTCTGGTCTCTCTCCCTGGTCTCTCTCTCTTGTATCTCTCTCTGGTCTCTCTCTCTTGTATCTCTCTCTGATCTCTCTCTCTTGTATCTCTCTCTGATCTCTCTCTCTCTGGTCTCTCTCTGGTCTCTCTCTCTTGTATCTCTCTCTGATCTCTCTCTGGTCTCTCTCTCTTGTATCTCTCTCTGATCTCTCTCTCTTGTATCTCTCTCTGATCTCTCTCTCTCTGGTCTCTCTCTGGTCTCTCTCTCTTGTATCTCTCTCTGATCTCTCTCTGGTCTCTCTCTCTTGTATCTCTCTCTGATCTCTCTCTCTCTCTCTGGTCTCTCTCTCGTATCTCTCTCTGATCTCTCTCTTGTATCTCTCTCTGATCTCTCTATGGTCTCTCTCTCTCTTGCTTTAGATTGCTATATTTTTAATCTTCATCGAGCCCTGGGAGCCAACTTTTATTTGAGCAAAATACAAATGATATTTTTGTGGTTGGAAAGGTGGGTACCCCAGCTTTAAAGCAACAAGACAATACGACATGGCATGGTTAGTGCTGTGGTTGTGTCCTTAGGCAAGACACTTCCCCCACATTAGAATGAGTCTGGTGTGTGTGTGAATGGTCGGTGGTGGAGGGGCCGATGGCACAGACTGGTTGCCACACTTGTGACAGTGTGCCCCAGGGCAGCTGTGGCTACAATAGTAGTTTTTTTAAATTTTTTATTTATTTATTTATATACCGCCTTTTCACTGCAGATCAGAGTCTCAAAGTGGTTTACAATTGTTTATCACCACAGTGTATGGAGTGAAAGAATAATGACATTTAAAATCAATCAATCAATTCAACGTTATTACAGACTCTAGGTCCAATTTAAAACCAATACATTATTAGTATTGTTGTTGATATTATCAATATATCCTGAAATTGAGGGAGTCTCTTGACCCCAGTTGAAAGTCCTTTTCTGATGGAACTCTACGTTTTGCCGCAGAATTGAACCAAAAGTGGGTCAGAGTGAAATGATCAGGGAGAAAAGTGGAACAAGTGGAGGATGGATGTGTGAGGAAAGGCCTGCTCCTCTGTACAGCAGCAAACGGTACAAGGAGCTACTTGAGAATACTAAATGAGACTTGACAGTTTCAAAGGCATTTTGCAGAATCAGTCACACAGTAAAATATCCCTAGGACGAAATGTGGCCATTTTGAGGTTTTCCACACATAAAAATCCAAGTCTGAAATAGAAAGTTCTGTGTTATGTTTTCGCTGTGGCTAAAAATGTATAATCTCTCTCTTTCATTTAACAAGTAGCTTTTGTGTGATTTGGAATGGGATTTTACGAGCTTCTAAAGGGGGTGGTTAGCTTATCTAAAGTAGCATTTCCAAATCAAAGAGAAAGATTAAGATGAAAAGATTCTGTATGTGTCCCACTGCGGGGAAATGTCAGTGTTGCATCACCATCTACAGAACAGAGAGAACAGAGAGAAAGAAGATAAATGAGTGTTAAAGACAGCAGCTGGTCAACGCTATACTTACAGAGGCTACAAGAGCTTCTGCTTAAGAACTGGTTTTAGCAAACTGTTGATACTGGAGGAAGAGAGAGAGACTAGAGAGAGAAAGACCAGAGATCAGAGAGAGAGAGAGAGAGAGAGAGAGAATATAGAGAGAATAGAGAGGGAGACCTGAGAGGCAGACTAGAGAGACTAGGGAGAGAGAAACCAGAGAGAGACCAGAGAGAGAGACCAGAGAGAGAGACCAGAGAGAGAGAGAGAGAGACAGACCAGAGAGAGAGGGGCCACAGAGAGAGAGACCAGCGATAGAGACCAGAGAGAGAGGGAGACCAGAGAGACCAAAGAAAGAGAGAGACCAGAGAGAGACCAGAAAGAGAGACCGGAGAGAGAGACCAGAAAGAGAGACCGGAGAGAGAGACCAGAAAAAGAGACCAGAGAAAGAGAGAGTGTGTGTAAATGGTTGGTGGTGGTCGGAGGAGTCGATGGCACAGACTGGTTGCCTCGCTTCTGTCAGTGTGCCCCGGGGCAGCTGTGGCTACAGTAGTAGTTCATCACCACAGTGTTTGGAGCGAACTAATATAATGTATTAATAACATATGAAGCGTTTTTGAGAGTCCAAAAAACCGTTATATTTAAAACCAATTCATGATCATTAGTGTTTGTATGTACTCGCTAAAAGCACAACATTTCTCCTGCAAAAACCAAAACCAGAAAGAGCACAGGAAGCAGCCTTAGCATGTGCCAATCTGGCCTGGACCCGGGCATCTGGATCCTGTTTGGGGTATTAATGAGTAACTGGAGGAGCTGATTCATGCGCTCTTTGTTATTCCTTCTCGGGGCGCGGGGGACTTTTTTGGGTTTAAAAGGATAAGCTTTGGCCTCACCACAGAACCAGGGCTCATGCCAGGACCCAGAGTCACCGCGGCCAAAGCTTCCAGCACGAAAAAAAAAAAAAGAAACCTTTCTCTCTTTCCACAAACACACCGAATAAATGTGTCCGTGTGTTTAAATCAATGAGGTCGGGCCTTTTTATTCACAAAGTTTATAGGCGAGGATTGGAGCCTATGTGGGTTTGTTTACGCGGCTTAAGCTAATGTTAAAAATGCATTGAAACCTGGGGAGACTGACGCTTATGAGAATGTATGGTGGATTTGCTGGGCTTACACAGAAATGACAAAGCAAGCGATAAAGGTATTTTACACTGCTATGGATGTGTATATACGGGATTGGCACTTATGCGACAATTTGTGGAGGATATATCAGTATGTAAGCTTTAATCTATGTGTTTTATCTGTGTCTGTACAAGGGAGAAGTTAAAGCCGGGGTATGAGACTGTATTTTGTTCTATAAATAATGAAATATATCGTCCTTGCAATAACTTTTTGTCGTTAGAACGTGAAAATCATGCATTTCTTTAAGTCATATAGTAAGAGATATGACACTTCCTGCCCCCCTGGAAAATAGCCATGTTCCAGCTTCTTCTCTCTGACAGAAGATATAGTTTGCGGAGATGCAGGAAATCTCGATTTTTTAAAACTGTTTTTGTTGATAGTTTCACAGCGACAATTGTTTCTTGAACCTTTTAAGCTTGGGTACCTTTGCACATGTTTTCAATGGTACTTTAGGGAAAGTAGGTGCAAATAGGGAAAGATCACAGGTACTGATACTGGTACAGTGTATTTATGGGGGTGTCTGTCTGTGGTTCCTTTAGGGCAACAGTAGCTCAGTTGGTAGAGCATTGGCCTTTGAGCCAGAGGGTCGTGGGTTCAAGCCCGTCCTTCACCATCGATTCCCACTGTCTGCTGTTGTTGTGTCCTTGGCAAGACACTTAACCTCTGGGAACACCTGATGCCACAGTGGGGCGGCTGCGGCTGAAAAGTGCCAAACTGCTGTTGTGCCTTAGGCAAGACACTTTACCCCCATTGCCTAGAATGAGTCTGGTGTGTGTGTGAATGGTTGGTGGTGGTCGGACGGGCCGATGGCACAGACTGGTTGCCTGCCCCAGGGCAGCGGTGGCTACAGTAGTAATTTATCACCGCCGTGTTTGGAGAGAACGAATAATGACATGTGAAGCGTCTTTGAGTGTCCAAAAAGGCGCTATATAAAACCAATGCATTATTAATATTGTCTGTAATATATGTAATATATTGAGATGTCTACATCTCTATCACTCTTTCTCTCTCTCTCTGTCTCTTTCTCTCTAACATGAGTGCCTCTGTGTGAATCTTGTGACCGTTTTGTGTCTTAAACGTCCTCTTCTAAATCTTTTTGGTATACGTCTTATATATTAAGCCAAAAAACTATTTTTGTCATCACACAATGTATATCATTGGCCTTATCCTTGTACCACTTCTCATACATTTCTCCAATATCGTTTAAGCTCTAATCACATCTCAGGACATACATTGTAGGTCTGCAAAACAATGCAATGTTTACTATTGAAGATCTGAGAACAAAAAGAGGTCGCTCAATAGTTTTCTAAGAGGCATGAGAGCCAACAAAACATCGCAATTTGCATCTACAGGCCAAAGTCCGGACCCCCTGCACGGTCTGTCACACGCACTTAAACAACGCTACATGTCCCATATTTCAATGTCTACAAAATGCCAGACCCATCTCCAGAGAGGGAACCGCCTTGTGCCAAAACCGCGCTGAATCGTAATAGGAAAAGCATGTTGCTCCGGTTGGAAATCACGGCGTAAAATGTAGCTGAGAGTGTGATTTGGCCTGAGCGTCACCTTTCACACATGCCTGGTTTAAAACAGAGAGAGCCCAGAGGGTGGAAAGACAAGCTCCAAAGTGTATCTGATGGGCTGAAAGCAACGCAGAGAGAAACCAAGCAGAAATAAAATAAATTCAGGAGATGAGAGGACTGAGATAACAGAAGGATTTGGAGCCTAGACGTCATGGGGTCATTTGTCACAGTGTGTGGTAGTGGTCGGGGAAAAAATGGATTCTGTTCAGTATCGTGATATTAGGTGTCATCTGATCCTCCTGCAGGTGGTGGGTCCACGGTAAGATGGCTTCTCTGCCTTGGTCTTTCAGCGGGGGATTCAGGCAATGTGGGGTTAAGTGTCTTGCTCTACGAACTGAGCTACTGTCGCCCCCACAATATTAGGTGCATAGAATTAAATAGACACAATATATCAAAGTATTGTGATATTTCATGACCGTAAAAATACCGGATTATAAGTCGTTCCGGAGTAAAAATCGCACTCGCCGAACATTTATAACACAATACCTTTAATATATAGTAATAAAATAAAAAGATTTCAGATAGTTGCAGACCCCAGTTTTCAAACACACACGATTCCATCACATGAAAAAGACTTGAGAGATGTGTTGTTCTGTCTGTAGCACTGATGAGGGTGTATTTATAGTCTCGGGCTGTATGTATCTGTTGACGTGAGTAAAAATAGGAGCGGTCTTACCTATGCAGTAACACAGCAGCACCGACAGCAGGACTGACAGGCCCACCGCACTCAGGGCTGTGCACCTGCAACACACACACACACACACACACACACACACACACACACACACACACACACACACACTGTTAGTCTCAAGATTTCAAAAGGCAATATCGAACCTCATGTGTCCATTGCTGCTAACATCTGCAGATGCATACAAACAGTACAACTATATAATTCTTTGCACTAGAATATACAGTATTTTACACTTGTATCATTCATTTTTAGTAGTTGTTGTTCATTTATCTCGTGCCGTGTGCTCCTCATTCTTACTGTTCTCTAACTGGCGATGCAACACTGGAATTTCCCCACTGTGGGACGGATAAAGGATCTGTTGGTGTAATGTAAATGGCTGTAAATAACATGATTGAACCTGATAAATACACACTGCAAAAAGTGATCAAAGGTAAGTCAATTCCTCAAGTTTGACCAAATGTATCTTTTGAGCCTTAAAACAAGATTTTCTAAATAGGAAAAAGCAAAAGATACAAGAAAATCAAGCCACAGTTCTTGAAATAAAACTAAATGGCTTTGTCCCGTTGGAGAATCTTGTTTTAACACAGTCAGAATGTGTGATGTGTGATTAAGATAAAAACCACTCAATTCAAGCGTATTTTATCATTTTTTTTGGAGTGCAGTAGAAAGTTATAATTGAAATTGATTTGAAATGTCCATGCTTTGTACCAGGCTATAGCAGGGAGCGCTAATTTACACCTGTAGTAGCATCAGTACTCGGAAAACTAACTGTATTTTTAATTTTGGGTCAAAATGAAATGCCCTTTGTACCAAGTCAAATATTTTTTTACATTACCGCAAAAAGCAAAAAGTTACAGCAAAAAGCAACACATTACAGTAATCACAGTACTTTAGCACGTTACTCCCAGCTCTCTTTTCTCATGGATGTTTACTGCAAAATGCAAACTAGTTCTTTAACCTTGGTGTGGAGAAATGTCCGGGCCTGGTCATTACATTCACCACACCGCTGGGCTCTTTAAGAATAAGCCGGTCGTGACAAGAGCATTATTCCAAGGAGCTGCTTTTCAGGTGATTTAAAGCAGAGCTGCCTTTTGTACAAACAGATCGGCCACCGCTCGGGCGCATGCAGATGGCACTCGAGGCCGCTTGCGACTTTTACGAGCGCATTAATCAGGCCGACGCAAACTACATGTAAATTAAAAACTTGAAGAGGGCTGGTGTTCCTCGACGGCGATCTCTAAATAAGTTTTGAGTTTTTACGGCCATGTTGTTCTCGTTAATTACATGCGAAAGATTGTGGCCTCCGTGAAGGATTTGGATGGAGATTGAGACGGTGATGGCTGAGTGGTTAGCTCTGTCGCGTCTCTACAGGAAAGGGTCGAATCCCAGCTGGAATAGGGCCTTTCTGAGTGGGTTTGCATGTTCTCCCTGTGTCTGCTCCAGTTTTTCCTACAGCTATAAACTTGATGCTTAAGTCAGAGATTTTATACTTAGTTCTCGGTTCTTTGTTATGCTAAAGTTGGAGATTGTATTTACTTATAATGCAGCGTTTCAGATGTATTCAGCTTAAATCTGGAACTGTCTTCCTGAAAACATGAGACAGGCTTCTTCTCTAACAATGTTCAAATCCAGGTTAAAAACAGTTGTGTTTAGCTGTGCATATAACTGAGGGATTGTATCTTTACTCTGTTTTAATGTACTGAGATTATTTATGATTGTATTGCCTTGTGTAACTGCTTCTATCTTAGTCACTGCAAAAAGTGATGAAAAATAAGTTAAAATTTGCTCAATATTTGGTAACATTTTAAGGTATTCTGACTGTCTTAAGACAAGATTTGAAATGATAAGAAATGTCTCCTTTAGAATTAGAAAAAAAGAGACAAAATTACTTTGTCCCTTTGACTCAGATTAAGATAAAAACCACTCGATTCAAGCATTCATCACCTCATATTTTATCATTTTTTCCATTGTTTTGTTAGGCACTTTGAGTTGCCTGGTGTATGAACTGTGCTATACAAAAAAACCTGCCTTGCTTTGCCGTCAACGAGCTCAGAAACATGGCCCCTGAACACTGAACGCACACATCACCCACATCAAAAGACTTTAACCAAACATCCAACTCCCGAAACGGTGCAAGATGGACGTTGGAAATGATTAATATTAACAAAACGTGTCTTGGAACATATGGCCATAGGCAGAGCAAGTAACCGTGAATCAAATTGTCATCTCCTTTTTGGCACGAAAGCCCTCGAGATTGGATTTCTTCCGCTGAGCCCACTTGAGCTATAATTGACTATCAAATCACATACATTTTGGAGCCTGTCAAATGAAAGACATCTTTGCATAGCGTAATTCTCAGCCAAAAAGACGACATTTCTGAGGCTTACGGCTCCGGACCGGCACAATATTTGATTAAATTCAAGCCGCTGTTTTTCTTTTTGGGAGAAAATCTATACTTTTCAGACGCCCGGGAGTTCGCAGCGGTCTGAAATTAAGGGGCGCTGGAGGTGTCATTTTTGCAAAACGTGCCCAGTGGAAAAGACAGAGAAAGTCAGCACACAAAATCAAGTCTATGGGTAGTGCTTAAAATCAATGGAGTGCGAGGAGTCCGAGAGACAGGCTGAGCGCGCATGGCTGCCGGATGTTTGGAGAGTTTAGTGAATAGGAAATAAGAAAGGGAGAGGAGACAGATAAGAAGAGAAAGGGAATGTGTGTGGGCATTGCAGAAAGTGATGAAAAATAAGTCAAAATTTGCTCCAATTTGGCAAAATGTATCTTAATTTGAGCACATTCTGACTGCCTTAAAACAAGATCTGCCAAAGGGACAAAGCAAAATGATCTTATTTTCTAAAGAGCTCCCAATTTAAATATCATTGGTCAATATCATTTCCTACATGTATGTCTGGGTCTGATCTTAGTGGCTGCAGTTTCCTCGGTTGAATGCCCACTGACCGGTGTTGTGCGTCAAAAGTTTGGGCTGAATTTGCCAGTTGTAGTTTGGCGATGGCAGCAAATGCAATAGTAAAGTCATTTGTTCTGGTTTGGCTCCAAATATCAATAAATTGAGGCCGGAGAAAGAGTATTTTTTCATTATTGGCAAAGATTATCTGGCTTATTATCCACGGGCTCTGTTAGTGGCAAAGCTAAGCTAAATAGTAATTGCTAGCGACTCACCCGGGCGCATTACATAGGTGACAATAAACTCAGATCCAATCGTTTCAATCTGCAAAAAGAGTTAAACCCTCCCACCTGTTGACAGAGCTCAATGGAGCAAATCCAGACCTAAGTACGAAATCAAATTGGTACGATGGTATGGTAAAACCAGACTAATGTAGCGCTACCATAGTTCTGTTAGCTACCAGCAATCATCACAGCAAATCTAACTCCACTGTAATTATCCTGTAACATTTTCTTTTGGCTCTTGAACATTTCTGTCTGTAAGTATGTGTATAAATATCACCTGAGCTTCAGTTAGTCTCCAAAATCAGTAATTTTAGCATGTTTTAATTTTGTAATTTGTTAAAACATATTCAGCGCTAATTGCGGAGCATCCCTATGGCTTTTCCCATACAAACTAGCATCGTGCTAACCTTCGTTTAGCGATATTTTTTATTTTGAGGTTTTAGCTATCTTTAAGCTATTTATTTTATATTTGCGTTGTTTACATGCCCATTTTAGATTGTGATATGCCTTATTTGTATCTCTCTATCTTACAGTTGTACAGTTCATTAGTAAATACACACAACGAATGCAGCAAGAGGCTTCTGGTCCTAGTGAAAACTGTTCGCTGTCTGTAAAGCTAGTTCACCATCATCTCTAACTTTAGCATAATAAAAAAGCAATTACAAAATCTGTAACCTTAGCAAAATGAAAAAGCAAGAATAAAATCTCTAACTTTAGCATATTGAAGAAGCAAGTATAGCTGCTGGATGTTTGGAGATTTTAGTGAATAGGGAATAAGAAAGAGAACAGACAGATAAGAAGAGAAAGGGAACGCGAGTGTGTGGCGTGAATTCTAATGTTTTTTTTTTATTTAACAACAAAACAGTGTCACAGAAATGCAATGTTATAATCTCCACTCTACGATGTGTACAAGAGAAAGACTGTTGTAGTAGTAGTAGTAGTAATCTTTATTTATATACCGCCTTTTCACTGCAGATCTGAGTCTCAAAGCGGTTTACAATTGTTATGCATTTAAGTCTGGCTGTATCGCTGATATTAGAACATTTATTTGAATGATCTACAGATTTGCACTTTATTACTATTGTTTGTAACTTTTAGAATCCCCTTTTGTGTACCTTGCTCTAACTCCAAATTATACTCTGTTAAAATTACTCAATTAAAGTATTTCCAGCCGTATTCTTTACCGTTTTTTGCAATGAGTCCTCTACCGATTACGTTGGACAAAACAGTTATCTATGACTTTACTAACCCTGGAACACGAAATAAAATATGAGGAAGTAATTTCTTAAATCAAGTGTTTATTATCCTATTCAGAGTACATTCTGACTTTCTTAAAACAGCATTTGCCAGTGGGACAAAGCCATTTAGACTTATTTGAAGAACTTTAGACTTATTTCAAGAGACACAGCTTGTATCTTTTTAAAACAAGATAATTTTTATTTTCCCATTGGCCAATCTTGTTTTAAGGCAGTCAGAATGTGCTCAAACTGAGATACATTTTGCAAAATCTGAGCAATGCGTTACTTATTTTTCATCACTTTTTTCAGAGAATACCTAAGTATCTTCTTTTCATTGTTTGCTTTCTCTGTTAAAGACAAAACCCTTGAGAAGCTTTTTAACCAAAATGAACCGTGAACTTTAAAAAATATCTTTTCACTGCCCCCCACGCACCAATTAGTCATTGAGCTGCCTTTCCGGGCGACTCAGGAGAGATCACACACCGTGGAGTCAAACTAAGTCTTTTCTCAGTGAACGGAGTGGCAACCCTCTGCTCCGGCTGTCGCGCAGACCTCGCCTGGTTATGGAATTAGATTATTGATTTGTGTCCACCTTCGCTTCATTCATTCGTCTGTTTGTCCCAAAG